CATAATGCTAAAATCCATAAAAATTGATTATTCTTATCATATGAAATTATCCACAAAGTCCACTAATAAAATCCATTAACAAACAATAATCCACGTACTTAAATCATAGTCCTACTCTCGGCACTCCCACATGTAAAAATCCACGCAGCTCTACTCTTCAGAATCTAAAAAAAAAAAAAAAGGGTAAGTTAGATAGCCAGTAAATAACCAACTATCACTGCTAGCTGGATCAAGTATACAAAAATAAATAAATAGTCGGTAACCAATAAATATAATTTTTGCTACAATTCAATAAATGAACAATTATTTGTAAGATGGTTTCTTAACTAAAAATAAACAATGTACAATCCATTTTAATTGAAAAGCCAACAAGATAATTCAAAGTAAATTCATTATTCAAATCGATGGTTCGATATTCAGATGGTTCAATGATTTGATTCACAAAACCCAAGTCTTGGTGACTACGGTCACTTAGCCCGTGACAAGCCCAGAACCACACATAGGCCGGTGGTAAAGCCCCAAAAGAAACTAGTTTATGTGCCAATAAATAACCCTATTGGCTAGGGTCCAAATAATAGTCAGACTAGAGTGATGTTCAAAAATTCAAACAATACACAACTTTAAAGAAAAATATTCGATATTTTTCAAAATAAACATTGTACAATTTTCAGAATAGTTTCACAAAATATTCAAGTAACTTCATAATAATATTCAATGTTGTTTATACTTCAACCCATATTTTATTTAAGAGACATGAAGGCTATAAATAAATATATTTATAATTTTAAACTTTCAGTAGGAATAAAAATGAACAACAGTGATAGAGGGTTACTTACCTCAAACAACTAAAATAATATTCCCAAGCTAATCTCAATTGACCAAGATCCCCCTCAATCTCACAAACCTAATAAATATTACACCACATAAACAATTATTATTTGCATCCATCATTCTCTTCTTGTAGCAACAATAGAATAAATTAATCCAATTGTCTATTAGGGACCCCACAATTCAGCATCAAAACAAAGTCATCACGGCTTCAAAAATTCTCAACCTATATTATCCTATTGTTGTTCATATACATGTATAAATTTGTAATTGCTTGTAGCACAATCTTGTATCCCACAAACACACCACATTAAACTTAATCCATCACATATTAATCTCAAAATATGAACCACCCAAATGGAATGCAAAATATACTCTAAAATTGAGCAAAATTTGAGAACCCCAACATAGACTACATCAATATAATTATTTAATCATATATGCCCATAAAATCATCTATTGATGTATTAACACTAAAATCATAGATAGGAATACAGTAAAATAAATCTTACCTAAGTGATGAATAAATAAAAATCACCACTCTATGAATCCTCCTTCTTCACTTTGGTTTTTTTTTTTTCTTCAAACCCTTGCTTGCTGCTTCACCTTTAACTTTTCCAAATGTTGCCTTCACTTCCGCAGCATACACGCTGCTCTGTTTTCTTCTTTTTCTTTCTTTTCTTTTTCTTTTGTTTTTCTTCTTTACGTAAAAGGTTATTAACCTAATTCCTTAAAATTACTAAATTACCATACAAATTAATTTAACTACTCTTTATCCAAAAATAATTCTACATATATCTTGGGTTTTACATTCTTCCCTCTTAAAAGAAATTTCGTCCTCGAAATTGACATACCTGGAGTCTCAAAAAGTTGTGGATACTTTCGTTTCATTTCATCCTCGAGTTCCAAGTGCTTCTTTTTTTCTGAGTGATTGCTCCATTGAACCTTAACATAGTGGATGACTCGACGCCTCAAAACCTGTTCCTTCCTATCAACAATTCAATAGGGTGTTCCTCATAAGGCAAATCCTCCTTAAACTGCAACGGTGCATGATCAATCACATGACTAAGATCCGGTATATACTTCCTTAACATTGAGACATGAAAAACATTATGAACTCCAGCTAGTGAAAGATGGTAGGGCAAGTCTGTAAGCTACCTCACCAATTCGATCTAAAACCTCAAATGGCCCAACAAATCTAAGACTCAATTTACCACGAACACCAAACCTCATTACTTCTTCATAGGAGAACACCTTAAGGAACACATGATCTCCAACCCCAAACACCAAATCGTGTCTCCTATTATCTGCATAACTTTTCTGTCTACTCTGTGCCATGCGAAGTCGCTCTCTAATAAGATTGATCTTGTCCACTGTTCGTTGCACAATCTCAGGCCCTAACAACTTCCTTTCACCCACATCATCCAACAAATAGGCGATCTACACTTTTGTCCATCTAAAGCCTTATATGGTGCCAAATCTAAATGCTCACATGATAACTGTTATTATAAGAGAATTCCACTATGGCCAAATGCTCATCCCAAGAACCTCCAAGATCAATAACACAAGCCCTCAACATGTCTTCCAAGGTTTGAATAGTTCTCTCTGACTGTCCATCAGTTTGTGGATGAAAGGAAGTGCTAAAATTCAAACTAATACCCAAAGCTGTATGCAAACTAACTTCTCCAAACATAGATACAAATCTGCTATCTCTCTCAGACACTATGGTCATCGGAATACCATGCAACTTCACAATGTCCTTGATAACAAATTTGCAAACTTCTCTAAGGAGAAACCCTACCTTAAAAGCTAGAAAGTGAGAGGATTTGGTCAATCGATCAACGATAACCCAAATAGCATTGTTACCACCTTGGGTCCTAGGCAACCCTGTCATAAATCCATTGGTAATATGTTCCCACTTCCACTCGGGAATAGGAAGAGGTTGTAACTTACCTGCAGGTCCTCTGATGTTCAACTTTCACTTATTGACATACCAAACATTGAGCAACATACTGAGCAAATTTCCCTCTTCATATTATTCCACGAAAAGTTCCTCTTCAAGTCTTTATACATTTTAGTGCTCCTGGGTGTACTGTATATCCTGAACTGTGACTTCTCTCAGGATTTCTCTCTTGAGCTCCAAATCATTAGGCACACACAACCCTCTCTCCAAATCTCAAGGTTCCATCTTTATGCATACAAAATTCCATCTGTAGCCCTATTTCCATTTTACTTTAAGTTTTTGTAACTGAGGATCTCTTCCTTGAGCATCTTTAATTCTATCAATCAATGTGGGTTGAACCCTAAGGTTTGCCAACTGCACTCCATGGTTGTGTCATCTAATCTCAATATTCAACCTTTACAAGTCCTCTAAGATATTCTTTTGGTTAGTGATCAAGGTAGCCAAATTACTCGGGGTCTTTCTACTCAAGGCATCCGCCACTGCATTGGCTTTTCCTGGATGATAATTGATAGTCCAAATCATAGTCCTTTAATGCTCCAACCATCGCATTTGCCTCATATTCAGTTCTTTTTGAGTGAAAATATACTTTAAAACTTTTATGATCAGTGAATATCTCACATTTCACCCCATAAAGGTAGTGCTCCAGATTTTCAATGCAACACCACTGCAGCCAACTCCAAATCATGCGTAGGATAATTCCTGCTCATATGGTTTCAAACTGTTTTAGACGCATATGCCACTACTTATCATTCTGCATCAGGACATCATCAAGCCCATCTTCGATACATCATTATAGATGGTAAAACTTCATCTCCGGACGGAACTAAAGTACTGGAGTAGACACCAATCGACTCTTTAGATCTTGGAAACTCTTCTCACATCATCAAGACCATTCAAATTTAACCCCTTTTTGTGTTAAACGAGTCAAAGGCATAGAAATTCGGGAAAATCTTCTCAACAAACTTCTATAATAACCTGCTAAACCAAGAAGCTACGAATTTCAGTGACACTAGTAAGCCTATTCCACTCTACCACTGCCTCCACTTTCTTGGGTCAACAGACACCCCCATCTCTAGATATCACGTGTCCCAAAAATGATACACTCTCCAGCCAAAATTCACACTTCTTTAATTTACCATAATTTTCTCCCTTAATATCTGCAACACTAATTCTCAGATGTTCTTCGTGCTGCTTTTTACTCTTCAACTACACAAGAATGTCATCAATAAAAACTACACAAACTAATCTAAGAATGGTTTCTATCTATCAATTGCTAATCTTTTAGTCATTGTTCATGGTTGGTTTAGTATATTTCTGCTGGGCTGTGGCTCACCCTATAAGGGAAACCATTTCAAGTACAGGTGCAGACAAAGCATGGTGGAAGGGTGTTCAACAAGTAAAGCGGTATGGGCTCTCTGACGGGGCAATGACATCGGCTAACAACAAGGCGAATCTAACAAGCTACACGGAATGGCACTCCGGCAAGGGGTGACATCGGCTAACAAAGGACTTCGGCAACTAAGGTGACAATGACCTCGGCTAGGAAGGACAACACTTGACTAAGCTGTGCCACATCTTGGCCTAGATGCGCCACACCTCGGCCTAGGTCATACCGCTCCAGAACGAGATCACTTGGGTGCAAGGTAACATCTCGGCTAATGTGTCAAGGCAAGGACGGAGGTCAACAAGGGGTTCCAAGATACTTCTAGACTGAGGATGACCTCGGCTTGGAATGATCTAGGCGTAACGTAACCTAGGCTTGGTATAACATCGGCTAGCATAACTCAGGCAAGGCGTGACCTAAGTTTCACATCAAGGAAGGAACAAGACAAGCATACTACACTTAGACAAATCACAAGGCTTCAAAACAAGACATGGATCACATTCGCTCAAGCGAAACAAGTCACAAACATACACATGCAAGCTTAACAAGTCATAATCATACCGATGCTCGTGAACATGATGAGGACATAAAATGTGGGTTCCTACAGCAGTGGCGGATGCCTTGAGTAGAAAGACCCCGAGTAATTTGGCTACCTTGATCACTAACCAAAAGAATATCTTAGAGGACTTGTAAAGGTTGAATATTGAGATTAGATGACACAACCATGGAGTGCAGTTGGCAAACCTTAGGGTTCAACCCACATTGATTGATAGAATTAAAGATGCTCAAGGAAGAGATCCTCAGTTACAAAAACTTAAAGCTAAAATGGAAATAGGGCTACAGATGGAATTTTGTATGCATAAAGATGGAACCTTGAGATTTGGAGAGAGGTTGTGTGTGCCTAACGATTTGGAGCTCAAGAGAGAAATCCTGAGAGAATCTCACAGTTCAGGATATACAGTACACCCAAGGAGCACTAAAATGTATAAAGACTTGAAGAGGAACTTTTCGTGGGATAATATGAAGAGGGAATTACTCAGTATGTTGCTCAATGTTTGTTATGTTAATAAGTGAAAGTTGAACATCAGAGACCTGCAGGTAAGTTACAACCTCTTCCTATTCCCGAGTGGAAGTGGGAACATATTACCATGGATTTTATGACAGGGTTGCCTAGGACCCAAGGTGGTAACAATGCTATTTGGGTTATCGTTGATCGATTGACTAAATCCGCTCACTTTCTAGCTTTTAAGGTAGGGTTCTCCTTAGAGAAGTTTGCAAATTTGTATATCAAGGACATTGTGAAGTTGCATGGTATTCCGATGACCATAGTGTCTGATAGAGATAGTAGATTTGTATCTATGTTTTGGAGAAGTTTGCATACAGCTTTGGGTATTAGTTTGAATTTTAGCACTTCCTTTCATCCTCAAACTGATGGACAGTCAGAGAGAACTATTCAAACCTTGGAAGACATGTTGAGGGCTTGTGTTATCGATCTTGGAGGTTCTTGGGATGAGCATTTGGCCTTAGTGGAATTCTCTTATAATAACAGTTATCATGCGAGCATTCAGATGGCACCATATGAGGCTTTATATGGACGAAAGTGTAGATCACCTATTTGTTGGGATGATGTGGGTGAAAGGAAGTTGTTAGGGCCTGAGATTATGCAATAAACAGTGGACAAGATCAATCTTATTAGAGAGCGACTTCGCACGGCACAGAGTAGACAGAAAAGTTATGCAGATAACAAGAGACACGATTTGGTGTTTGGGGTTGGAGACCATGTATTCCTTAAGGTGTCTCCTATGAAAGGAGTAATGAGGTTTGATGTTCGTGGCAAATTGAGTCCTAGATTTGTTGGGCCATTTGAGGTTTTAGATCGAATTGGTGAGGTAGCTTACAGACTTGCCCTACCACCTTCTTTAAGGTAGGGTTCTCCTTAGAGAAGTTTGCAAATTTGTTATCAAGGACATTGTGAAGTTGCATGGTATTCCGATGACCATAGTGTCTGAGAGAGATAGCAGATTTGTATCTATGTTTTGGAGAAGTTTGCATACAGCTTTGGGTATTAGTTTGAATTTTAGCACTTCCTTTCATCCACAAACTGATGGACAGTCAGAGAGAACTATTCAAACCTTGGAAGACATGTTGAGGGCTTGTGTTATTGATCTTGGAGGTTCTTGGGATGAGCATTTGGCCATAGTGGAATTCTCTTATAATAACAGTTATCATGTGAGCATTTAGATGGCACCATATAAGGCTTTAGATGGACAAAAGTGTAGATCGCCTATTTGTTGGGATGATGTGGGTGAAAGGAAGTTGTTAGGGCCTGAGATTGTGCAACGAACAGTGGACAAGATCAATCTTATTAGAGAGCGACTTCGCATGGCACAGAGTAGACAGAAAAGTTATGCAGATAATAGGAGACACGATTTGGTGTTTGGGGTTGGAGATCATGTGTTCCTTAAGGTGTCTCCTATGAAAGGAGTAATGAGGTTTGGTGTTCGTGGTAAATTGAGTCTTAGATTTGTTGGGCCATTTGAGGTTTTAGATCGAATTGGTGAGGTAGCTTACAGACTTGCCCTACCATCTTCACTAGCTGGAGTTCATAATGTTTTTCATGTCTCAATGTTAAGGAAGTATATACCGGATCTTAGTCATGTGATTGATCATGCACCGTTGCAGTTTAAGGAGGATTTGCCTTATGAGGAACACCCTATATGAATTGTTGATAGGAAGGAACAGGTTTTGAGGCGTCAAGTCATCCACTATGTTAAGGTTCAATGGAGCAATCACTCAGAAAAAGAAGCAACTTGGGAACTCGAGAATGAAATGAAACGAAAGTATCCACAACTTTTTGAGACTCCAGGTATGTCAAATTTCGAGGACGAAATTTCTTTTAAAGAGGGAAGAATGTAAAACCCAAGATATATGTAGAATTATTTTTGGATAAAGCAGTAGTTAAATTAATTTGTATGGGTAATTTAGTAATTTTAAGGAATTAGGTTAATAACCTTTTACGTAAAAGAAGAAAAACAAAAGAAAAAGAAAAGAAAAGAAAAGAAAGAAAACAGAGCAGCGTGTATGCTGCGGAAGGTGAAGGCAACATTTGGAAAAGTTAAAGGTGAAGGCAGCAAGCAAGGGTTTGGAAGAAAAAAAAAAAACCAAAGTGAAGAAGGAGGATTCATAGAGTGGTGATTTTTCTTTATTCATCACTTAGGTAAGATTTATTTTACTGTATTCCTATCTATGATTTTAGTGTTAATACATCAATAGATGATTTTATGGGCATATATGATTAAATAATTATATTGATGTAGTCTATGTTGGGGTTTATGGGCATATATGATTAAATAATTATATTGATGTAGTCTATGTTGGGGTTCTCAATTTTGCTCAATTTTAGAGTATATTTTGCATTCCATTTGGGTGGTTCATATTTTGAGATTAATATGTGATGGATTAAGTTTAATGGTGGTGTGTTTGTGGGATACAAGATTGGCTACAAGCAATTACAAATTTATACATGTATATGAACAACAATAGGATAATATAGGTTGAGAATTTTCGAAGCCGTGATGACTTTGTTTTGATGCTGAATTGTGGGGGTCCCTAATAGACAATTGGATTAATTTATTCTATTGTTGCTACAAGAAGAGAATGATGGATGCAAATAATAATTGTTTATGTGGTGTAATATTTTATTAGGTTTGTGAGATTGAGGTGGATCTTGGTCAATTGAGATTAGCTTGGAAAATATTATTTTAGTTGTTTGAGGTAAGTAACCCTCTATCACTGTTGGTTCATTTTTATTCCTACTGAAACGTTTAAAATTATAAATATTTATTTATAGCCTTCATGTTCTCTTAAAATAAAATATGGGTCAAGTATAGAACAACATTGAATATTATTATGAAAGTTATTTGAATATTTTGTGAAACTATTCTGAAAATTGTACCAAATGTTTATTTTGAAAAATATCGAATATTTTTCTTTAAAGTTGTGTATTGTTTGAATTTTTGAACATCACTCTAGTCTGACTATGATTTGGACCCTAGCCAATAGGGGTTATTTATTGGCACATAAACTAGTTTCTTTTGGGGCTTTACCACCGGCCTATGTGTGGTTCTGGGCCTTGTCACGGGCTAAGTGACTGTAGTCACTAAGACTTAGGTTTTGTGAATCACATCATTGAACCATTGAATATCGAACCATCAATTTTGAACAACGAAATTTCGTCGAATTACCTCATTGTCTTTTCAATTAAAATGTATTGCTACACTGTTTATTTTCCGCTATGAAATCTTACAAATAATTGTTCATTTATTGAATTGTAGCAAAAATTATATTTATTGGTTACCGACTATTTATTTATTTTTGTATACTTGATCCAGCTAGCAGTGATAGTTGGTTATTTACTGGGCTATCTAACTTACCCTTTTTTTTTTTTTCAGATTCTGAAGAGTAGAGCTGCGTGGGATTTTTACATGTGGGAGTGCCGAGAGTAGGACTATGATTTAAGTACGTGGATTATTGTTTTGTTAATGGATTTTATTAGTGGACTTTGTGGATAATTTCATATGATAAGAATAATCAATTTTTATGGATTTTAGCATTATGATAATTAAGGATTTAATTGGAGTATTTTACATTATTGGTCATGTGTTGGACTCTTAGCCTTACATGCTCACTTAAAAGAGGTTGACAGGTTTTCAAAGATGGCGCATTTTATTCCTTGTCGAAAGACTTCAGATGCCTCTCATATCGCTCGATTATTCTTTCGAGAAGTAGTTCGTTTGCATGGAGTCCCTCAATCCATTACCTCAGATCGTGATGTCAAGTTCCTTAGCCACTTCTGGGTGACTTTGTGGAAGATATTTAACACAGCCTTGAATCGTAATTCAACCGCGCATCATCAAACAAATGGTCAAACAGAGGTGACTAATAGGACTTTGGGCAATTTGGTTCGCAGCATTTGTGGAGACAAACCAAAGCAATGGGATCTTGCTTTGCCTCGAGCAGAATTCGCATATAATAGCGCAGTTCACAGTGCCACAAGAAAGTCACCATTCTCTCTAGTGTATGTCACGCCTCCAAAACATGCAGTTGATCTGCTCCGTTTGCCTCGGGGTCCAAGAGTGAGTACTGCCGCCGAAACCATGGCCAAACAAGCCCAAGCAGTATAAGAAGAAGTACGACAGAAGCTGGAGGAAACAAATACCAAATATAAGGCAGCCGCAGACAACCATCGGCGCTCCAAATTGTTCAAGGAAGGAGATTCAGTAATGTTGTTTTTGCGCAAAGACAGATTTCCAGTCGGCACATACAACAAATTGAATGTAACGCCCTCAAAAAAATGACTTTAAACCCATTAAATAAGACATGTATTGATATTCAAAAGCTTCACATTCTTTCATTTATCAGAGTTTCATTACAAAAAGTATTACATGTTAACAACAAAAGCAAATGCCCTATGGGCTTACAGCTTTCCAAGTTAACACTTGGTTACAACAAAAGAGTACTAACTCATTTACACATTAAGCCCTTGGCTTGAATTTACATGTAATACAAGGCAGCCGCAGACAACCATCGGCGCTCCAAACTGTTCAAGGAAGGAGATTTAGTAATGCTGTTTTTGCACAAAGACAGATTTCCAGTCGGCACATACAACAAATTAAAGCCTCACAAGTATGGTTCACATAGGGTGTTGAAGAAAATCAATGACAATGCTTATGTGATTGAGCTACCAGATGACATGAAGATTTCCAAGACTTTTAATGTAGCCGATTTATATGAGTAACATGCTGAAGAACCCCTCTATCCAAAATCGAACTCAAGGTCTAGTTCTCTCCAAGAAGAAAGGACTAATGTAGAACAAGTAGCTGAAGACTTCTTGGAATAATTGGACCGACAAAAGGCAAGAAAGATGTAGAACAAAATTCTATAATTTTTATATTTCTTAATTTTATTTAGAATTAGGTTTTTGGCTAGGATTTTAAATAGTTTAGAATTTTTAGTCTCTTAGGTTTCCTAGTTCTCTTAGTTTTCTTAATTTGTATTGATTTAAGTTTCCTAGCTTATTTTGGAATCACTTTTCCTACAAGTATTAGGTTTAGTTTATTCACTTTTCCTACAAATATTAGGTTTAGTTTATTATAAATAAGCCTACAAGCATATGTAATTAATTCATTCAATAATATTTTAAAGAGCTTTTCTTTTATCTTCCTTGTGGATTGAAGGGTGTTCTTGTGGATTCAAGAATTCTCGTCTACTAGAACAATATCTAGTCTCGTATGATTTATTCCACTGCGTCAGTTTTTTCGTTACAATGTTGATGAATTCCTGTGTTGATTGTGGCCTTTTTGCCTTTGAAAATAACAGGTTGTTGGCGATGTAGCCCTTCAGCTTCATGCCGGGACTCGTTTTACTGGGATAGAGTTTGTCAACTGATTTAGAGAAAGATATTTTATTTTGGCTCCTTTTACTCATTTGAAAATTCAAAAAATTATGTGCTAGCAAGTGTTGTTTGTGTTAGTGCATTATATTGTTAGTGTATTCTATGTTGTTATTAGCTGTAAAGTGTGTCCTAGCTGATCATGATGTCTTTGCTTTCGGTTGCTTTTGGGTGCATTGTTTGTAAACTTCTCCTTTATAAGGAGCTCCTGAACCATTGTACAAAATACATTCAATACATAAATCAATATACATAATTCATTCTCTCTGTATCTCTCTCTATCAATTTATCTTACATGGTATCAGAGCAATAGGTTAAACTCTTGGTGTTCTTCGTCTTCCGGCGGGCGGCAACCTTGCCTTGACCGTCCGCCGGGCCTCAACCTATTCTCCTTTTGAACTTGTTGACAGTCGTATCGACAACAGCTCTACAATATTGACGCTTGAGTTCACTACTGGGCATGTCGCAAGCCCATGCACCATCATCTTGCTTCTGCATACCAACATTACTGGTTACTCCGTGATCTCCGGCTTAGCCATGGGCATGGAACCCATGCACCATCATCTTGCTTCTCTCAATGCCAAGATTTGTGTTGCTTCCACCACGTATTGTCGGGCACCTTCATTGTAAAACCCATCTGCGAAAATGCAGATTACAACACTCCTTAGCACTACAAATGACTCAAGCTCCGGGCTTACCTTGCTGGTTCTACTGTGAATAACACCCGGGCAAGTTCGGTTGCTGCTCCGACCCTTTCCTTGGATAGCTTATCAGATTCTTCTGAGCTTTG